TTTCGCCAAAAAGTGCCCAATCAACCTAGGAGCGTCCGAATCCAATTTTGGGCATATTCCTAAGTCCAAATCGTCGTCCGGACCTAACGGAACCATCAAAACTCCGATCTAAGATCAAATACGTAAAAGTCAAACTTGGTCAACTCTTCCAACTTAAAGCTTCTAAAATGAGAACCATTCTTCCAAATCAACCTCAAATCGCTAGAAAATTGAAATCGACTATACAACAAGTCATAATACATAATATGAAGCTACTCAAGATATTAAACCACCGAACAGAATGCTAAAGCTCAAAACGACTAGTTGGGTCGTTACATTCTGTCCCTCTTAAGCAAACGTTAGTCCTCGAACGTGCCAATAGTCGCTCCAAAGCCATCAAATCATTGTATAAACTCACCATACACATACACATACACACGGGTAATCCCACGTCACCCCAATCCACATATGCCTGACAACACCATCTCGATCGAAGATTATTCCTTCAACCTTAACCAATAAGCATAAGAACCAAATTTCAGCATCCAAGCATCCCCCAAAGACCCGATTCACACATAAACATAGTGTATCAACCCAACCAGCTACAACAACTCATGCATACATCCACAAGGTATAACCACACGACGTAACGCATCACCCTATAATGCAATAGCAACAGTTTTGGTCACAATAGCTGCCTATTACCATACCCGCTACCGGTAAATAGTCTCATAATGACTAGAACCTTATTCCAAACCTTCACAACACTGATAATGATATAAGAAACATGTGAAGCTCATACTACTCCCCATCGGTACCATACTATGAATCCATCCCACAAGGAAGAAGCAAAACACATGCAATAACTATAACAAATCTCATCCTAACATAACCCTACCGTGACACGTAGTCTGGTCCAAACATACCGATCCACCTAAAAACATGAGTATCCATTCCCAAATCAGAATTACAAGCAAGATAAACATCCCATTAACCTAAATCCTTTAACTAACTCAATCTCGTAGAACACAACCACAACACGCAACGAACTTCCCATGCTAGTAGAGTACATCAACCACAAGTCGTGGCCAAACCATCCAGAAATCACATCAAATCCTACTGTATTAAGTAACAGAAAGTCCACACTAGTATTATAAATCTCAATAGCGACCACACCAGAATGATAAAGACGGTCTACCACAATAGAGGTCCCAACAGGTGAAGACACATAAAAAGAATACAAGAATCATGAAACATATCCATATTTGAAGCAAGGTAGAAGGACTCATACTGCTAAATAGGATCGGATCAAAATAAAACTGTTGCATCCCAATAACAAACTGAAACCGTACTTGTAGCGACATTATCTGGTGCAGCTGCCTTAGCTTTACCACAGAAAGCATAAAAATGGCCTCCCTCTCTAGGACGCACTCTACTCGCCTATCCCACATCTATAACTAGATGAGTAGGGGTGGCAGCAACTGGAGCGGAACCCATAGCCTGAGTACTCTGCAATGGTACACCTACCCGGAGTCTAGGACAATCTCTCACCATGTGCCTGAATCCCCACACTAAAAGCAACCTCTCTACAGGCGTGGCTGTGGAAGATGTCCGAAAGCGTGCTCTGGGACCCATGGATAACTGAAGCACCACGTGAAACCTGAAGTGTAGATTGAATGAGCTGCCCAACAAAACATCTACCATGACGCACCCTGCCACCAAAATAGGGATAAGTAGATCCTCCCGGTCCACGAGGCTTCTTAGCCTCTCTATCCTACCTCTCTACACCGCGGATGCGCTCCATCCTCTTGGCAATCTCCACAACATGCTGAAATGAAGTATTAGTCGCCAACTCCCGTGCTATCCCCAGTCTGAGACCAAAACTGAGCCCCTCGAAAAATCAGTGGACTCTCTCTCTAATAGTATAAATCAAAGCAGGTGCATAATGAGATAGCTTACTGAATCTCATAGTGTACTCAGACACGATCATAGTCCCCTGGCACAACTGCTCTAACTTTGTGCGCCACATATCCCTAAGGTTCTGTGGAACGAACTCCCTTAAAAAAAGATCAGAGAACTGAGTCCAAGTAAGTCACGTTGTGCCAACTGGCCTACTCTCCTCATAAGCATGCCACTATCTAAAACTGAAAGTAGGGGGATCATACTTCTTGAACCATTCTAACCTCTTTTACTCTACCTCTAATGTCATGGGTGTCACGGCCTGACCTCGGGAAGCGCGACCGACGCTCAACCGAGATACCCTGGCCGAGCAAGCATGTACAATACCTTCTACCCAATTTGCCCATGAATAAAGAGAAGATACATTTATATCAGTAATTAAACATCAGTCATGTGAATAACACCAATTCACTTCCATTAGTTACGTCTTTAACACGTCTCCAAAACAGTACACTGTACAATCATAGTTAAAGTGGAACAGATGATACGATTATAATTTTTTTTGTTTAACCTTCCCAAAAATAAATACAACCCACACTATGTCTACGGAGTCTCTAACAGAAACAAAAGAGTGCTACGACAATGCCGGCAATAAGACCCTGGCTATACCTCAAAATACTATGTACATGAAACAAGAGATACAGGACCCCAGAATGAAGTGGGGCTCACCAAGTCAGCTGAGGAGAGGGTGTACTGCTATCACTGATCAATACCACCTACTATGGAACCATCTGCATCCATTAAAGATGCAGCGCCCCCGGCAAAAGGGACATTAGTACATGTCGAATAGTACTAGTACGAAAACCAAACACCTATGCATGGACTTGAAAATACAACATGAATATGATGAATCATGGTAATAATAAAAGGCTTAGTTAGCCGCTAAGGCCATAGAAAATTTATTAAGAGCTTTCAATAATATTTTTAAATTCATAAGTCGGGGATCCTCTATAACTACCTTTACACAAAACGGCCCTGCCGCCTCACCCCAACGTATGCGGGTGGAGGTGCAATCACAATACCAGAAACTTTACACAAAGCGGTCCTGCTGACTCACCCCAATGTATGCGGGTGGAGGTGCATTCACCATGCCACAAACTCTATACAAAGCGGCCCTGCCACCTCACCTCGATGTATGCGAGTGGAGGTGTATTCACAATACCACAACTCAACACAAAGTGGCCCCATTGCCTCACCACAATATATGTTGGTAGAGGTGTATTCACAATGCCACGCTTCGGATTCCCAAAACGATAATATTTTGTACAAGAGAGTTCCCTTTTAAATCAACCATTTGGCACCTTTGGCCTTAGCAAGTGTAAGTTCACAAGATCTCATCATATGAGAAATAAGTGTTTAATCACATTGATTTCATACAAGATCTTCTCCCAAAAAGGGGTTGTAACATAATTAAGTCAATAATAGAGAATCATTAACACGTGAGGGTTCTATAACGTTATGCCAATCAGAAATCAATTTTACTAGTTTGAATACCCCACATCAATAGCGTTTCAAGTTCGACTAAACATGATAGAATTTTACAAAGATTCAGGAATTTCGATACTAGAAGAAGAGTTTAGCCTTCATACCTCGCTTTGAGATTTATTTAAATTACTACAATGTTCTGAAAATCCTAGCAACTTAAATCTCTTTTGAGACATAACAAAATTGAATATAAATTAGGAAGATATTCATGGTTTCAGCTCATTTGAGCATTTTATCAAACACTAGATGTGAAAATTTGATTACAAGGTTCTACCACAAGATTTCCTTCACTCCACAACCCAATCTTTACCCATTTGAGCTCAACAATCTTCCCACAAAACTTATTGGTACAAGTTGAGTAAGAAATTCTTACCTTATAGAAACCTTAGAAAGTCCCTCTTGATAAAATTCTAAGGCTTGATCCAAGTTGAGTAGTGAAATCCTTGAATCCTCCCCTTTCTCTCTCTAGGATAACTCTCTCCTCTCTCTAAAATATCATATTTCTCTTTCAAAATGAGCCCCAAGGACTTTTAATCAAAATAGGGTCGGGTAAAATAATTAGAAAAATGAAGCCCCGACACAGATCTGTGGTCGCACATGCGACCGCATAATGCTTCTGCGGTCCGCGGAATGGACCGCATAATGGCCCTCTGGAACTGGGCACCCCTGCCTTACTCTGCGACCGGTCTGTGGTCCGCATACCTATTCTGCGGTCGCATAATGCATCGCAGAACTGCCCTCCCGAAAATTTTTGTGTTGGTTCTGCGATGGGTTATGCGGCCCGCAAAATAATTATACGGCCGCATAATGGACCTCATAATGGTCCAAAAAAATTGCCTAAATTTTTGCCTCAGTCTGCAACAGATCTGCGGTCCGCAGATCAGTTCTGCGACCGCAAAATAGACCGCAAAAAATGCCCTGCACTTCCAAAAATTTTCTTCAACTCCCCAAAGCACTGTTCAACCCAAAAAGACCGAACCACTCTACAATCATCAATGCATAAGTCTACTTCGGCACCACAAAACTCCGGGTTTTAGGTAATATTTTACGGGGCCTTACATCCTCTCCCGCTTAAGATCATTCGTCCTCGAATGAGGGCCAAAATCTGCCATTAGAAACCAATGTAACTCAGCCGCTATAACACACCAACAGTTCCAACTTTTGACTAACTCCCCAAATATCCAAAATTTTCGCTAGAGTTTTCCTTGTAACTGGGCATATCCACGTGTCAGAGAATCCCAGAAACCAATCCTAACAACATGTACATGAACCAATGACGTAACATAACATTAAAATAACAACGGCAACAGTGGCCTTACGAGCAGTATATCACAAAAAGGGAACACCCTTACCATCAACTGTACAAATCTATATATAAATATAATGCAGGGGAATTAAAAGCTGATGTGGCACTCTCATATCCCAGCAAATGTATTTATCTAATTTCTTAGTTTTTCATCTTTTCCCTCTAATTTTAATTCAACATAATTAATTATTAAATCTGAATATTAGGTTCAATTACATCCCCTAATAATGGGGAAACAGAGAAGGCAACAGTTTCAAAATTCTCAGAAAATTTTCTAGCCAAAATTTGTATCTGGACATCCAAAAGTCGTTATATGAAACACACCTTTATTGAAGAAAACAAAAGTGCTCCTTCGTAACAACAATAAAAGCAACAAAAAGAATCGCAGTTGACGTTCCACTCTCCCTCCTACAGCCTACAGGTTAGTAATTCTGATACCCACACTGAAGTTCATTAATTTCTTAAAACTCTAAAGGTAATTATTTTATCATTGTTGAATGTTGATACATATGATGTTTGTTATCTAAATTTTTTGAGTTCGTTTGAATATAATCATTTGTTATATCCTATGTTTGTTGTGGTTAGGGTTTTGATCTACTAAGAACGAGCGGATATATCTGAATATAGGTGGAAGAATCATTAGCAGAGGCATCTCTCTTTTGGTGAGAACTGAACTAAGTTGTGAATTTTTTTTACTCAATTTAGTTTTTTTCCCTGAATAATTCGGAAAGATGGCTTTTTTTGGGTGAGTTTCAGAACCATTTCTTCAAAAAGTTAAAAGGCACCTTCTCTTGATGATTTTTTCCACGGCTGAGTTTGTTTTCACATCCTCGCAGTCTAAGGTATATACTCCACAAAATTGTTAAACTCCTGCTTTTGAAAGTTAAAGTTCTCTCTTGTAATGTTAGGCCCACGTTAATTATCTTTTTCTTTTTATTTATGTCCACTTTATTCGGTGCCCGAAACTCTAATTAGTTGAAGTGTTGACAGCTCATGGGCAGACTTTCATTGTTTGTCACTTGAACAATATGTGTGTGTAAATATTTTAACAAATACGTATTTTTCTTAAGTTACAATCATTGTAAAAAAAAATAAATAATAATAATAATAATAATTTAGTGGGGGAGATGATATTCTTGTAAAAGCTTCTGCTTCTTCTTTTTATCTTACTGATATCCTTATTTTTTGGCTTTAATTCACTGCATTTAATGTGCGTGTCTCTTTAGATGTATGTTTTCAAAAATACCTAATTTTTATTTTTTCCTATATTGGTAATTTTTTGGTCTATAGCACCTAAATGCAACTTCGATCCCGTTGCAGAAATGAATCCCATGCTTAATGTAATCTGCAATATGGATCTAGAATAATCAGTTTTTGCGGTGTTATTCCTGGCTAGAACCAACATAAGACTACACGATCACGGGCACAACGTAGATGATAGGGACTAAACAGCTGCATAATGGGTGAGATGGCTAGAATCCGGAGAGTGCAACTTTAATTTCAAGAAGTTTTGATGAATGATCGTTAAACTATTTCATTTGGAAGTTGAAAAGTGATGCTTAATGTGAGAAAGAGACAACAAGATCAACGGTGAAACAATTGACTTGTAATGTTGCAAGCTTTCTTTTATTGTAGTTGTGTAGATATATTGGAACTCAAATTACTTTGAATCTTAGTATTGAGGACTACAGATTACTATAAGATTGACAACAATGAAAAGTTTCGGGATGAAATGGAAGGAAAGGAAAGGAAAAGAACATGTGGATGGTTTTTGCTGCTGAAAAATGAGTATTTTTCTTTGTTGCACACACCTTAAAAACTAAAGGCTGCCTTGTGAAATATGGAGTGAGCTATAGTTAGGATATTATTACTCTAGAAAATGTATTCATTGGTTTGTCTTTTTTCTTTTCAAAATTAATTATTTAATTCGATTTCGTTTGATTTCTAATTGTAGAATTGGGAACGTAATCAATACTACATTCTTAAATACCACTTCCAAAGTTCTTTTACTTTTCATTCTTTTATAATCCTCTTAATTTATTTCTCTTACCTTCCGCAATTGCATTACAACTTTTGGAATTCGTTATAACTCCTTTTCGTTCTTCCTAGACTCTCTAACTTTATAAGCTCTTATTCATCAACTTAATTGAGATTGATTATTACAAAGGGAAAAAAAGAGGAGGGTTTCAGTTTACACTATATTAATCAACAAGATAATAGCACGTTTATTTGTTTAAGAGACATTGATCTTCTCTTATGAAGAGTATGAACTCACTTAACTCTCTATTGAAAGAAAAGAAACGTTGAATACTTATACACATATATATTGGATGGGAAGTTAGATAAAGATACGAACTTTAAGTGTTAATAATAAAAAGGATTAAAACTTAAAGCCTGATCTGTTTGAATCTGTATACTAAAAGAAATTTTTAAAACACTGTTAATATTTGGATATTAAAGAATATTATTTAGGTAAATAATTTAAATTGAGGTCTACCAAAACCGCGCGAAGTGCGGTAAAATCCACTAGTGATACATAATTCATAGAAGGTAAACTCTTAACACTTTCATAGAACACAACTTTATAAATACATGACTATTCAAACAAATGAGGGTATTTCTTGTTCATTTCTTCCTCGGCCTCCCAGGTGGCCTCTTCAACCTGCTGGTTCCGCCATAGTACTTTCACGGAGGCAATCTCTTTGTTTCTTAACTTTTGAACTTGCCTATCAAGAATGGCAACTGGAATTTCTTCATAGGTCAATTCTTCATTAACCTCAATAGTCTCAACCGGAACAATAAGCGACGGATCTCCAACCACCTTCTTCAACGTGGATACATGAAACACCGGGTGCACTAAAGACATCTCTGGAGGTAGTTCTAACTTGCAAGCCACCTTGCCAATCCTCTGAATGATTCTGTATGGTCCGACATACCTCGAACTCAATTTCCCCTTCTTACCAAACCGCATTACACCCTTCATAGGGGAAACCTTCAAGAATACCCAATCATCTTCTTTGAACTCTAAATCCCTGCAACGCACATCCGAATAGTACTTTTGACGACTCTGAGCAGTTTTTAACCGTACTGTAATGATCGTAACCTTTTCCATAGCCTGATGCACGAGGTCTGGCCCTATCAATTCTGCTTTCCCAATCTCGAACTACCCAATGGGAGATCTACATCTCTTACCATATAAAGACTCGAACAGTGCCATCTGGATACTAGCATGATAACTATTGTTGTAGGCAAATTCTATGAAGGGCAAATGATCATCTCAGCTACCCCTAAAGTCAAGAACACAAGCTCGCAACATATCCTGGAGTGTCTGAATAGTCCGCTTTGCTTTCCCGTCGGTCTGTGGATGGAAAGTTGTACTAAAATTTACCTGAGTACCCAACCCTTGCTGAAATTTCTTCCAAAATTTAGCCGTAAACTATATCCCCGATCTGAGATAATAGAAACTAGAGTGCCATGTAACCTGACGATTTCCTTGATATACAACTGAGCATATTGTTTCGCTGTGTCGGTAGCCTTAACAGGTAAGAAGTGTGCTAGTTTCGTGAGTTGGTCTACAATTACCCATATTGAGTCGAACTTGAGAGGCGTGTGAGGTAGTCCCACTACAAAGTTCATATTGATCATCTCCCACTTCCACATTGGAATTTCTATGTTCTGTGCCAACGCACCAGTCCTTTGGTGTTTGGCCTTCACTTGCTGACAATTTGGACATCTTGCCATAAAGTCCGCTACATTCCTCGTCATATCATTCCACCAGTAGACTTCCTTAAGATCATGGTACATCTTTGTAGAGCTTGGGTGCACGGAATACCTAGAAGTGTGAGCCTCGGTCATGATTCTTTCCCAGAGACCATCCACATTTGGAACACATAGTCGCCCTTGGTACCTTTGTGTACCATCGTCCATGCCAAGAGAAAAGTCCATGGTCTTATGTTTATGAATCCTCTATTTCAATTGTACTAACAATGGGTCGTTGTATTGCTTCTCCTTGACTTCCACCACACGCGACGATTCAGCCCTATTTTGCACAATCACTCTCCTTTACTAGAATCCGCAAGACGAACTCCCAAACTATCCAACCGATGAATCTCCTTGGCCAACGGCTTTTGATATGCCTCCAAGTGAGCCAAACTGCCCGTAGATTTCCAGCTAAGAGCATCTGCTACAATATTAGCCTTCCTCGGATGATATAGAATATCGATGTCGTAATCCTTGAGTAACTCAAGCCATCTTCTCTGCCTCAGATTCAATTCCTTCTGTTTGAAAATGTATTGAATGCTCTTATGGTCCGTGAATATATCCACATGGACCCCATACAGATAATGATGCAAAATTTTCAATGCAAATACCACCGCCGCAAGCTCTAAGTCACGTGTTGGATAGTTCTTTTCATTATTCTTGAGTTGTCTAGAAGCATAAGCTATCACCTTGCTATGTTGCATTAATACACACCCAAGTCCGATTCTTGAAGCATCACAATATACAACAAACCCATATGTACCCTCTGGTAGGGTCAACACCGGTGATATAGTTAATCTTGATTTCAACTCTTGGAAGCTTCTTTCACAAGCATCTAACCATTGGAACTTAATCGCATTCTGCGTCAATTTAGTCAACGGAGAGGCAAGAGTAGAGAACCCCTCCACAAACTTCCTGCAATATCCAGCTAAGCCCAAGAAACTACGAATCTCTATTGGGGTAATAGGTCTAGGCCAATTCTTCATAGCTGCAATCTTCTGAGGATCAATCTCAATCCCTTCTCTGGAGACGACATGACCCAAGAACGTGACAGATTCAAGCCAAAATTCACATTTCGAAAACTTTGCATACAAATTGTGCTGATATAGGGTCTGTAGAACTGCCCCGAGGTGATCGGCATGGTCCTCTCGACTTCGTAAATATACCAGAATATCGTCAATAAACACTATCACAAAGGAGTCAAGAAAAGGCTTGAAGACTCGATTCATAAGATCCATGAAAGTTGCCGAGGCATTTGTTAGCCCAAAAGACATTATCAGAAATTCAAAGTGCCCATGCCAGGTTCTGAAAGCCGTTCTCGGAATATCCTGCTCCCTGATCTTCAATTGGTGATACCCGGACCTTAAATCAATCTTAGAGAAATACTTAGCACCCTGCAATTGGTCAAACAAATCATCTATCCTTGGAAGTGGGTACTTATTCTTGATCGTGACCTTATTGAGCTGTCGATAGTCAATACACATCCTTAATGACCCATCTTTCTTTCTTACAAAGAGGACCAGTGTGCCCCAAGGCGACACACTTGGTCGGATGAAACCCTTCTCTAACAAATCCTTCAATTGTTCTTTTAGCTCCTTCAATTCTGTTGGTGCAATTCTATAAAGTGGAATAGATATTGGTTGCGTGCCCGGCATCACATCAATCCCGAAATCAATCTCTCTGTCTGGTGGGATCCCAGGGAGCTCATCCGGAAAGACCTTCAGAAATTCACTCACAACAAGAACGGACTCAAGTACAGGTGCCTCAGCATCGGTGTCTGTAACCCGGACCAAATGATAGATACACCCTTTGTTAATCATCTTCGTGGCCTTAAGGTAAGAAATAAACCTATCCTTCGGCACCACGTCATCCCCTTTCCATTCAATCACTGACTCATTTGGAAATTCAAACCTAACGGTCCTGGTTCGTCAATCAAGCTTAGCAAAACATGAATAAAGCCAGTTCATCCCTATTATTACATCAAAATCAGCCACCCCTAATTCTATGAGATCGGCCAGGGTGTCCCGACCACGCACCATGATAACACAATCCCTATTGTCACGCCCCAAAACCAAGGAGCGCGACTGGCACTCAACCGTGTGAACCCAGCCGAGCAAGCCTATTAGATTTTCTTCTACCTAAACTCATTCATGAATAGAGAGAATATATATGTTTTTGTTAATCAACGAATAAAGTGATCATGTCTGCAATACCAATTTCTTACCATCAGTTACTTTATTTTAAAGTCTCAATTCCAAACACATTTTTCATAATCTAAAGTGGAAATAGTAATTCAAGCACAACACACGAGTTTGACTTCCCCAACACCATTATACAATCCACACTATGTCTACGGAGCCTCTATAGATAAAGATGAGTGCAATGATAATGCCGGCAATAAGGCCTCGACTATACCTCAAACATAATACAGAAAGAACAAAAGATACATGACCCCGGGATGAAGTGGGGCTCACCAAGTCAGCTGGGAAGAAGGTGTGCTACTATCACTGATCATTATCTCCTGCTGTGGAACCACCTGCATCCATTTAAAAGATGCAGCGCCCCCGGCAAAAAGGACATTAGTACCGTCGAATAGTACTAGTATGAAAACTAAACACTAATTTAAGAATTCAGAAATACAATATGAATATGATGAACTAGTGCAGCAACAGAATAATATAGATAATCGTTTAAACCATAGCAAGCTTATTAAAAGCTATCAATAACATTTATAGGATTTAAGATGAGATCCTCTATAACCATCTTCACACAAAGCGGCCCTGCCGCCTCACCCGATGTATGCAGGTGGAAGTGTACGTACAATACCACAACTCTAATCAAGCGGCCCTGCCGCCTCACCCCAATGTGTGCGGGTGGACGTATAACCACAGTACCAAGAACCTACACAAAGCGGCTATGCCACCTCACCCCAATGTATGCGGACGAAAATGCATCAACGACACCAATACCAACACAAAGCGGCTATGCCACCTCACCCCAATGTATGCGAGTGGTGGTGCCACAACAATACCAAAACTATACTCAAAGTGGTCATACCGCCTCACCCCAATGTAAGCGGGTGGAGGTGCAGTCCCACAATACCATAATCCCTACACAAAGCGGTAATACCGCCTCACCCCAATATATATGCGGGTGGAGGTGTATCACAATCACAATATCTATACCATAATCTCCAAACAAAGCGG